AGGTGGGGGGATGAATTACTATGTGTGATGTTCTGAGCATTTTTCTTGGAAATGCAGCATATGTGCCCTTTCCAGCACAAGCACATATCCAGGTTACACACTGTTATATTCTAGAATTGCAGCTTTGAATACCGCATGAACAAAACACAGCTATAAGAACTCCTAACATCTAATTTTCAAAAATGCACCATTAAAAATAAGCCCCCAAATTATGTCCATCTGGAAGATGGCACCCAAACGATGATCAGAAGGATAGAAACTGGACACATGGATCAAAAATAAAGAAAAATAAGTATATTTAGCCTGCAGAAAAGTTGAAAGGAGACAGGATCACTCCGTCATGTTAATTCAAAGATTTACTCTAGCCATGAGCCATTGGATCAAATCCCTCCTTTGAATCTTCTAGGCAAAAACACCTTTTTTCTGAGCTATTTCCAGACGTCTGAATTGAATCCATTTCCCTCAAGGGGTATTAACAGTCCAAACTAAATTTGAACTGCACATTTGCAACCACGTCAAAGCTGTAATGGTAATGTTCTTCCCAGATGAGGTGGTAAGAAGCCAGGTTGGAATCTGTGGATAGATTCTGCAAGGAAACAGATTTCATCTCTATCACGGATTCTCCCGTTGTGGTCCGTGTGATCTCAGGGATCGTGAGCAATGGGGGGGGGTGTCTCACACTCTTTTTTACAATTATGCCTCAAGCACATTTGAGGTTCCAGTGTTTCTCAACCTTGGCAACTTTAAGATGCTGGCTGGGGAATTCTGGGAGTTGAAGTCCACCCGTCTTAAAGTTGTCAAAGTTGAAAAACACTGGGTTAAACCTTCCAGTATTATTAAACCACACGCATATTTTTCCAACTGCTCCCTTTTGTAACAGGGGCCCCAGGGCGCTCCAAACAACTGACAACCTTGCATTTTAAACATTATTATTTATGTTCAGCAATGTCATTTTGCCATTACCATTTTATGCTTGCCTATCTATTTATTGGACACAGTCTATCCGTTCAAAGCTGTCACATCAAAACGATTGCAACCATTTTGCCATTTGTTTGAATTAAAGCATAATATATTTTGTGGCTCCGGGTTTTCATCGCAATTGAAACGGATGCAACTCTCACGCATAATGGATACGAGTGACCGTCTCAAAAATGAAATCCAGATTTTTGGAATGACACACTCAACTTTCCCATTAAAGCAGGGTTTTAAATTCGACTGGAACTTTTTTGGTTTTTTAATCAACAAAAGCATTCCATTATATAAAGCTGCAAGGCCCTATCGCTGTTTCCGTCGATACCTAAATTAAAACACAACGGTTACAAGTAAGTAGTATATTTATTTCCTGCCCAACCCTCACAATGTTTTAAAAAAACCCTGAGCTAAATAATAGAAGAAATGTTTCAGTAAGGAGAACTTCCTAGGAATGGATTAGTCTATCAGGGAAAATGGTGGGCTCCCTGTTACTAAAATCTGGTGACGGGGGTGAAGACAGGCAGAGAAATGCCGAGTAAAAATAATAAATATGCTTTTTTTTTTTAAAAAAAAAAAAGGAAAACAGAGCCTTTTATGTGCTGCAATTTATTTTCACAACAACCCTGTGAGTGGGCTCAAAGTTTGCTTGTTTGTTTATGTATTTATTTATTAAATTTAGATGCCGCCCATCTCCCCCAGAGGGTGACTCCTAAGCAGCACATTGGAAGCATAGCTGCATGTTCAGCCCGTGCTCACACTGTGACATGGCGTTGCCCTAACTGGTGCATGGCCATCTTGCCCTAAAACCCTCATAGGATCAGAGGATGATGGGAGTTGTAGTACAACCCATCCGAAGGGGGACAGTTTGAGCCAAAACTGGCTTCCAGACAATTTCTCTACTCCCCAGATCCTCCCCATGGAATCTGGAGACAAAGAAGTGAATTCTGAAGATGCCATTCTGCCTTCTCTCTCTTCCTATTTCTTTTCGCAAGCAAGCGGTAAAACAATCGGATTGGCCCCAAACATTTATGTTAGGTTTTTTTTTTGTAATTAAAAATTGCAATAAAAATAAGCAGTGAGCAACCACAATCTGACTTGGGTTTTCCTCCAGTAACATTGCTAGATCTCTACCATATCTTCAATAAACCTTGCAGGCCAAATAAATATTTTAAGAGATCACCTCCCGCCCCCCCTTCCAAAAAGATTGCTGCCTCAGGGTGGATGTTATTCAAGATGGATCCTAGATCTAAGGAAAGCAAAATCTCCCAGGGCTGGCAAGCGAGACCGGACAACAGATTAAAATGCACCACTTTTACCAATATAGATAGACAAAACATTCTTTTCTGGAGAAACTGATCTCCTTTGTAATAATTATTTCCAACCAGGGGTGGTTGGAAAAGATAGAGAAAAAATCCCTGGCGTTGTCGTCTTCTTGTTTAAGACAGAATTCCCTTCCTGACTAGAGGCAAGCCGTGCTCACTGCACGGGATCCGGTGGATCCCTTTCTCAGTCAACTCATGAGCCTACATTACAGAAGGATGCTGCGGTTTCTCTCGCCTCACTACAGTCACTTTTCCCCTTGTGTTTAAAAAGGGGGGGGGCTGCAAACCCCAACAAAGGAGAAATCACAATGCGTGAATGTCCGTGAGATCATTTAGCACAGCCCGCTGCTCTGTGCAGAAATCCAAGTCAAGGCATCTTTGAGAGATGACTCTCCAGACCCCATTGCGCATATCCAATGAATAGGAGTTTGCTCCGTCTCTCAGCTCCAATGTCAAATCGGTCATACTGTCTGGCCATTTCTTCCTAATATCCAACGGGAAACTGCCTTCCGTAATGCAAATCCATTATTCTATATCCCAACTTTCTTGGGCAGCCAGCTTTCTTTGTGACCTCCTTCCAGGTCCTTGCTATCTGCATTCACACACCATGCTTAGCCACACTTAATTTAACCAAAGCTTGCTAAATTAATTAACCCCATTTTCTGGATGCAGAAGTTAGGTTGCATAATGACCTAGAGGACAGATTTGGACAGATCTGTTTTTGGGGACAAATTGCTATTTAGGTAAAAAGGAAAGTGTTTCTTCCTATTAAGATCTGCTAGCACAGTACCATATTGCAAAAAATAGGAAAGTTCATAATGCGAAAGAGATCGGCGTTAAAAAACCCCCACAAATCCAGCCCAGCGAATGTCCCAAGATGGTTCTTCTAAGCGACGTCCTCAGTCAACAGTTGGCTTTGCCAAGTCAACCCTAGCTGGGAAGTTCTCTAAGATCCTTCAAGAAGAAAAACCAGCCGTGAGGGTTGGGGGGACTGGCTTCCATGGGGGGGACACGGTCTATGACCGCAGATCTTTCCGTGCAATGCTCAGAGAGACACAGAGCATTCAGTGTCTTCTCTAAGG